TGTGCTGCTCTGTTTGAAGCGCCTCTCACCTTACGTTTGTGCTGTGTGTGATTCGGTGCAACCACTTGGTACTTTCCAGTTTAATTTTCTTTTTCTGTAACTTTATTAAAGAGCTATTGAAAAGAGGTAGATAAATCCAGTAGACTTGAGCGGAGCTGATGACACATGCTGTGGTTCTGGGCATGCTGGTAGCACTTCATCTGTTCTATAACGTCAAGTAATCTGCTGATGCCAAGGGATTTTTGTGTTGGTTTTTTTTTTTTTTCTTCAGGCCCCTTCTAGATTTCTGTAGCTGTCAAGGCACCGGAGTGGGAATTTAAGAAACTTTGATGCTTGTGTTAGTCAGAATAGGAACAACATTTATGGACTAGCAGGTGCGGTTCAGCTTTGTCCTCCCTGTAAGAGGAACATTTTGAGTGGGAGTCTTGTTGGATGCCATTCAGGGCCATTACTCTTTCCTCCTCTAAAATGAAGAGTTTTAGATTTCTGTAGCTGTCAAGGCACCGGAGTGGGAATTTAAGAAACTTTGATGCTTGTGTTAGTCAGAATAGGAACAACATTTATGGACTAGCAGGTGCGGTTCAGCTTTGTCCTCCCTGTAAGAGGAACATTTTGAGTGGGAGTCTTGTTGGATGCCATTCAGGGCCATTACTCTTTCCTCCTCTAAAATGAAGAGTTTCTTTAAAATTTCTTAATGAACATCTCTGCCCTCTCCTCCTTCTCACCCCAGATCTATTCTGTATTCAAAGTTTTGGAGAGGTAGGAAACAAACGTCTCGTGCATCAGTTGCTGTGCTGCGTCACGTCAGGAAACTCAGGAATAGATATTCGTGCCGCCTTTTTGCTTACTCCTGTTGTAATAATGCCTCTTGCAGGAGAGGTACTCAATTAGGAATCTGCGCTAATAAAGTCAATCTGGGCCATCCGAGCAGCTCCCTCTGAGTCACTTGAAAAGGGTGAATTTAACAGGGTGTTAACAGGTCAGTGTGTAACGATAGCCAGCAAGCAAGTTTCTATCAGATAGCTTAGCCCTAAATTAGGAGTTTCCTTAATTATGTCCCGGTCGCGATGTTTCAATTTAATTCTGTTTGTGGAGCTTCTTATTCTCTGAAAGCTTTATTGTTTCCGTTTCTGCCCTCAGGACCAAGGAAAAGGAGTTTCCCTGTGAATGCACCTTCCCATCCTTCCTTCCTGCTTTGCTTTGGAGTCTGAAACTGGGAAAGCAAGTGCTTTCCAAATTATATCCGTCCACTTTAAAGCCATTTTCTATAACTAGCTTTACGACCTCTTTCCCACAGATCTGTCTTGACTCAGTACATCGTGCTGCTACTTTCCATGTCCGGCATCAAAGAATTCATAGCGGGGCCCAGTGACTTGCAGCTTTTCATGGTGATGGTGCCTTGCTGTGCTTCGCTTAGTGTTGGGCGCTTCTTTAATCTGTGGCAGGTTCAGCTCTTGGAGGGATGGGCTTTGCTAACTGGAGGAGGAAGTTAGCAAACCCTTGGGTGTTTCCATCTTCCTGCACCATCTAAAATTTGCACTTGTGTAATAGGCTCGTTGCGCACCACTAACGCTGGAGCAAAAATGGATCCAAAACTCGCATGAAGAATTTCAGTAGGAGATGTGAATCATCTGATAAAACATAATTAAATGGAAGTGCCGTTCTTTTTTGGAGGTGCAAGTCGTAGAGCTTGTCTGCTGAAGAAACTAATCTGAATTAACTCTTCAATAGATTCAGCTTTTACAGGTCCCTTCTTTAAAAAGACAGAACTAGAGGAATCTTTTTCTAAGACTTTCTTCTAAAGTGAATTAAGGTCACTTCAATTCTGGATAGAAGAGTTTGGTGGCAATTTAACTCAGTTTAATGTTGTACCATTCAGTTCATTGATACATTTGTGAGTGTGCTTGCATAGGTGACTCAGAAGATGTGTTGGATAATTTTTTTTCCTGTTTTATGGGTAGCTGTGACATCTTCTCTGGGCCTCTGTGAGCGGGAGGATCTAGTCCATTGATACGAAGGGTCAGTGAAGAGCGAAGCTTAAAAACAGCAGGCTGGTGTGAAGCCTTTGGAGAAAACTCAGTCCTTACATGTGGAGCACGGTGTTGAGCAAACGCAGCTGGGGTCTGCTTGAATAGAGCAGAAAATCTGTTATTCTCGAGCAGAGCGAAATGAAATTGCTTGTGTTTGTAGCTACAGGGGTTGGCCCTGAGCTTTTGGAAACCTTGCTCTGGTTGGCATTTCCAGCCCTCCTTTCCCTGGGAGTCACCGCCGCATAGCAGGCACAGCAGGAGGAAGCATTTCGGCCGCTCTCATCCGCGGTTTGGTGTTCAACTCAACACTGAGGACAGTGGATTTTCCCTGAACAGCTGAGTTGTGAATGCATGACCAGGGACAGGCATCATTTCTCCTGCTAGCTCTGCCGTGAGGATCCCTAGCTTCTGACAAAGGACAGTTACTGAGTGAGTGTTTAATTGAAAAATTTGTTCCTGTAGTGCACAGAGCCCTTTGAGTTGTTGGCGAGAGTAGTGGGAATGGGCAGGGAACTAGCGGCAGATGTGGTTTGCAGCAGGAACGGCTGCATGGGAAGGGTGGTCCTTTCAGACCATCTTGGTTGGGTACTTACAAGTATCTGACACGAGGGAGGTGTCAAAAGTACCGGGCAATAGGATCTATAGTTAATGTAATATTTGAACTCCTAATTCCCTAACACCTTTTAAATTCAGTGAGTGACTGAACTAAATCCTCACTCCCCTGCAAAGTGTGTGCATCAGTGCTCTCAGTCTTCCCTGGAATTAAGCTCCGATTTCAGTTCTTTCAGGTCTTCTCTTTGGAGACCTCCAGGGCAAACACAGAAGAAGAAACAAGCAGGGTGAGCTCCCTTTGGCCGAGTGCAGACACATGAGCCCTTCACCAGGATTTGCTCTATAGGCTTGCAGAGAGCCATGGGCACTTCTCAAGCACGGTTTTGTTTGCAGATATCCAAGATCAGATGAATTGCCCTCTCGAAGCGTCTCTGATTATAAGAGTCTGAGCAATTATCTTGATTGTAAATACCTTTATTGTCAATGTGTTCACTTCAGAAAAGCAAATCCATCTCTCTGGATGGTTTCAGAGTTTAAAATAAAAAGCCAAATGGGATGGATGTTTCTCTTTCCCTTAGTGAATCACCTCTAAAGCACATAATGTTTGTTTAACAGTTTAGTCCAGCACTGAGGCCAGTAACTTCCTGGCTGCTGCTATTAGTACATGTAATATCCACCCCGCCTGTGTGCGGATGTCCACGCCACGCCGGGTGCCCAATGGCACTGCGCTGTCTCAGTAGCCAGGCCAAAAACTACAGATTTTTCCATTAATTCCTTAACTTTCTTCCCCTCTTTTTCAGCCAGCGCTTATTAGTTTTCTAAGTGGGAATTGCTGCAAGATGCAATTATTACTGGAAACAACCCAAATCTGTCAAAACTTAGCCACAAGGAGTTTGTCTGAACCCTGTAGAGCAGCGTAATTTTGCACAAGAGTTGGAGCTTAAACCAGCAGCAAACGGGGAACATGATTAAGCACAGCTGCTTGTGCTGAGTTAAAATTCATTATTCAGTTTGGACAAATAATTTATTTCACCTTTCCTGTAGGAAAGATGCTTGATGCCTCATTTGTTATTGCTCCGCATGTCTGATTCGCTGCTGATAATTGTAACAGGCTCTAAGAAGAAGACACGATCGGTCCTAATTAGATGCTTCACTGGGTCCTGTTCCATCCTAAAAGTCCATAAAAGAGCTGTGAGAGCAGGTGGGTGGTGAAGATCGCTGGTTTGTTTGGGTGAAGGGTCTTCGGGGATCTTCTTTTGATGTTTTTTTCGTTTGCTCTTTATTGTCAACTGAACCAAAGCGGGCCTGTCTTGAGGTGCAACAAGCAGAGGATGTGCTTGAGGGAGCGATGGTCACGCATTGAAATTGTACATTTTAGGGGACACGTATCCTCCTCCTCAAGATGAAGCTTAGAGTTACTGCCACCAAAACACTGTTGTATTGCATAGAAAAAATTATTTTTGAAACCTTCCTGGTTCAGTCAGCTTGAGATGTTCTACGCGTGTCTCACAACCAGCTCCTTTGTTCAGGGACCTGATCGTTTTCTGTTTCTTTCATCTTTCTCATTCGTTATGTGGTCCTGTGTCTCGTTGAAGAAAAACATCCACCTCCAGCACTGTGCTTGGCTCTTGCTGTGCATCGAATTTGAGCAAGCTCGGAATTACTTTTTGATCACTTGTCAGCTGAGACTTCAACTGCTGTTGTCCAACAAGAGTATTGCTGTTTAGATTTTCCTGGACTGAATCGGTCTTTTTGTCTGTTCCAGTTGAGGTCTGAGCTTGAATTGTCCTCCCTGCTTTTATTTCCATTGTCTTTTAGGGAAGAGGGTGGGTAGGCAGAGGGCTTCCTTTTGGGAAGGGCTGCGTCTGCCAGTTGTCAAGCTCAGCCTGTAGGATCTCAGATGGGTTCTGGGCTGCGCTCCCTCCCAGTGCAAATGCCTTTATCTATGAGCAGATTTTACTTGATGTATCAGACCTGCGTTGCTTAATGTTTAGGAAGCCTGGGGGTGTCCAAGGTGAAAGAGCCTTCTTGAGATACAAGGTGCCAGGAGCAAAAGAGAAGAAACAGAGCGAGGGTTTGTGTAGGAGAGAGAGCAAATCATTACTTTTCTTCTTTGTTTCCATCGGGCAGCTTTAAATATAAACGTTTTGGAACTGTTTCTTGAGTGAAATCTGCCATACAGTATGACAGAACGGGGAATTTGTAAGATATCTCAGAAATAGCTGTTATGGAAGGATTGCCACGTGGAAGGATTGTCATGCGTCAACCTGCAGGCAGGTCTCCTTAGGCAGGTGTGGTCCAGGGGCTAGAGTGGACACGAATGAGACGGTGACGTGCAGAGGCTCTCCCCGTTCCTGCTCGGAGAAGTGCATCTGTCATTACAGAGCCGTTTCCTCCTGGCTGCAGACATGCTTCCCTATGGCTAAACACCAGCCACTCTTCTTGGAGGACCACGGCAGCGGGTGTAGTCCTGACCCTCGGACACAAGCTCAGCTCCTCTGCTGACGTTTCACTGAAGCTGTTTTACCTTCTCATTTTGCTGTAGGCCATAGATCTCCACCAGCAAGAAGTGGCCATCGTTGCGTGGCAGATAATGCCAACTTGTATGTGTTTGGAGGCTACAATCCTGACTATGATGAGTCCGGTGGGCCAGAGAATGAAGACTACCCACTCTTCAGGGAACTCTGGCGGTACAACTTTGCTACAGACACCTGGCATCAAATGGGCACTGAAGGCTACATGCCCAGGGAACTAGCCTCCATGTCACGTACGTATGGAAATTCAATTCCTATGCGCCTACTCCTGAAGCTATTTTAATCGGTGTCCCTGGTGGAATGCAAAACTGGGCAAGAACTGGGAAATCTGGCTCCTGTTTCCAGCTCTTCTGCAAGTAGGCCTTGAGCTTGGGTTGGTTTTGTGATTTTTCTTTCCCCTTTCGCTCGGGTTGAGGCAGAGGGAAAGAAAAAATTTCAGATGCAAGAGGTAGTCTTCAGGTATTTAGCTTGACAGTTGCAAGGCACAGGCACTTTCAGCAGCTAGGTGCTCAATGCAATCAGACATCTCAAAGCATCCAAAAATAGACCTCTTTGTTCACTAGCCGTTTTTAAAAGTAGGCCTTTGGTTACCATGGTTTTAGCTTGCATTCTTTCACTTTTAGAGCATTTCAAAGCCATAAATGCGTAGCGTGAATTGTACGGTATTTGAACAATATTGAACACTTGCTGCCTACTGTCTCCAGAGCAGAGTCGTTCTGTTTTACTGCGTCTCACAGCAACAAGTATCTCTGCTCTGTCTCTCTCTCCTAGTTGTATTGCATGGCAACAACCTGCTTGTGTTTGGGGGCACCGGGATCCCCTTTGGGGAGAGCAATGGCAACGATGTCCATGTCTGCAACGTCAAGTACAAAAGATGGGCTCTGCTCAGCTGCCGAGGAAAGAAACCCAATCGAATCTATGGCCAGGTATGAAGGACAGCCCTTGCTGAGGCACTCTGAGTGTGCCTGCGTACACTGCGCTGCGTGTCACAGGAAAGGGGCCAGAGCACGGAGATATCTTCCTTGCTAGTAACCAGAGTTGTTTGCTGCGTACATAAGTGTAAGGAAAGGCAGGTATCGTTCATAAAGAAATAGAGCGGTCTCGGTTCTTTGAGATTTCCAAGGAAAGGAATAGTTTTCTTGTAGTTGGGAAAGCCAAAATCGGTTAACTAAATGCCAGATGCAGTTGAACGAAAAAGTATGCCTGATTTAAGGAGCGGTTGCTAGTTTCTGGAGTTGCTCTGTAACCTCCACAAAGCCTTTAAAACCCAAAACTATAAATGAAAACAGTGGTTAGTAGGTCTTACTTGTATTAGAATAACAACTTTTAAGACTTTCCATAATGTCGTGGATGAACATGGTGTACAAAAAAATAGATTCACTCTCACAGGAAGACTGCCACCTTTTGCTGTGCTTTCCAGTAATACTGCCAATGCACTTGTGGCGCAGACATTTATAACCCAATTAATTTCTCATTTAGACGTGCGCCAGACACTTGAGGGAAGGAAAGTAGTCTTCCCCTTGCCCGGTTCAGCTCGAGCTGGCCTTTGGCAAACAGGCAGTTGGGAGCAGAAGGAGCTTACATCTCTGCTTCCACCTTGGACTGCGTCAGGGAATGGTGCCTGCACCACCTTTGCAGTTTCAGTAGGCTGATAGTCCACGTGCTTTTGAATTGTACAGCCTGTCTCCCTTGTTTAGTCTGACTTATCCACGGTGTTTGGGACTTTCTCTGTTACACTTAATGCCGCTGGCTACCTGATAGCTGGTTTATAAGATTCTCTGTAACAGTATCTGTATAAGGTCAGCGTGGAAGAGATTCGGGGTTAACTGTGCTTTGGTTTTAGCTCCTGGGAGCCCCTGCTGCACAGATCTGTCTTGTCTGATGCCTGAAACTCAGCAGGTCCACTTCTAGGTCCTCATCTTGTGACCATGGAGTTACTTTCCATTCCTACAGACCCCACCCCACCCCACCCCCCTTCGTGTATCATCCTTGTTTGCCCTTCATATTCTTCCCGAACATGTAATTTTGTAAGTTGTAGAGCTTTGCAAGCAGTGTCTGGCTTTGGGAGGGGAGGAATTCTCTCTTTTTCAGACACTGATGTCACGTGTCCTTTCCAACTGGTTTCTCTCTGTTACCTTCCAGGCCATGGCCATCATCAATGGTTGTCTCTACGTGTTTGGAGGAACAACTGGTTACATTTACAGTACTGACCTACATAAGCTAGACCTCAACACTAGAGAGTGGGTCCAGCTGAAACCAAACAATATGTCCTGTGACATGCCAGAGGAGAGGTGAGAAGCTGGACAGTCTCGGAGAGCTTTAACACAGGGGAGTCACTGCCTTTACGGACAGGCTTCTGAGCACTCTCAGAGCAGTGTTTTCGGCTGTGAACCTTGCACAACCGGTGCTCCAGCAGTCTGGCGTGCAGGGGGATGTAGGGATGGGGTGTGAAGCCTTTGCCACACTGATCTGGACTGTGTGGTGGCAGAACAGAGCTGGGGGCTTGGGGCAGCTGGTGAGTGCTGACGAGGGGAAGAAGCTCTGGTTGATCCCTGTCCCTTGTCCTGTTTTGTAGCAAGGCATGGACAAAGGAGGGCTGGGAGATCAATCAGTGACCATCTTAGTGAGAGAAGGGGCTGGAATATTGATGGCCATGATGGTGCTCCATAAATCATTGTACTTAAGTTCCATGGTGCTCTGCTCTCAGAAAATGCTTTTCAAGCTTCTGGGGTGCTGCTTAGATTGCTCATGAAAGCTTCCACGTCTTCCGAATGCTCCCAACCTGAGGGACTGATACAGCACAGCCAGGCTTGGGGTGTCTGCTTAAACCGCTCAAATTTGATAGTGTTTTCCAGAAGGCTTTTGTTGTTGCTCACTTGCACTAATTGCTTGTGCTGCTAAATGTCCTTCTTTGCACCTTCAGGTACAGACATGAAATCGCACACGATGGTCAACGGATTTATATCTTGGGAGGTGGAACTTCCTGGACAGCTTATTCCTTAGACAAGGTAAGGTGATCAGAAACCTTGAGTGCTTGCCTGGATAGGAGATTTTCTACAGTGAAATATAACCAGCACCGTCTCTTCATCTGGCTTTGCCTGGAGAGCTTGGTAAAAAAAATAGGTAACTAGGAGCAGATTGTTCTCCTATTTCTGTAAAACCTGGTGTTGCCACAAACACGTCCTGTTGACTTACAGATGATGAATCTGTGGTACCCAGTGACCATCCCGATCTGCAAAACAGCTTCATTTCTGTAGACCTGTTATCAAAGATTCTCATTTAAAAACACTTAGGACATCTTTCTAAATGTTGTATTTGTGCCAAAACAGGAAAGTGCCAAAGGAAGGAATTCCTTGACGTTAAATTCAGATATTGATATGGTGATTCTTTTCTTGTCTTCTCCCTTAATTGTATGCTTTAATTTCCTTCCTTGTGGCAAATGTTTTTCTCCAGTACGATTTGGGGAGGGAAGAGTGAATTCATGTTGAACGCCAAAATGATTAACAAGGAGATTTTAAATAGTGCTCCGCTTCCAAAAAAGTTGAAACTGCAGCAGTTAACATGACTTCTTATCTCTCCATTCTCTGCATTTCTTTTCTCCTTACGTGCGGTATGAGAAAGGTATTTCTAAATACTTTTGAGAACTGGAGGGTGTGGGTTTTAATTGGTTCATGGTTTTTTAAAAGCAATATTCTTTTTCTTCAGCTGTGGGGCTTAAATAGCAAAGCCCAAGATGAAAGCTTTAGTAAGCTGGTACGCTTTGAAGGTGATTTTATACCTGCCTAGTCACTGGCTGCAATTAGCTATTTTTGTTTTTACACTTAATGAAAAAGAGGTGTTATTTATAGTGGCTCCCTGGGTCAGAGCCCGTAACTGTGTCATCGTAGTGCTGGGAGAGCCAGGAAGAACTAATGGCTCCTCTTTGTCCCTTCAGATCCATGCGTACAACCTTGAAACCAACACCTGGGAGGAAATTGCCACAAAACCTCATGAAAAAGTTGGTGAGTCTGGAATTTCCTGTGTCTTCCCCTGTAAACCAGAGAGTGGCCGAGATGCTCAAAGATGCTATTTTCTGGCAGGCTGAAAGCCTGTTTCATAACCTTGTTGTACAGTACGTGACTTAACGCTGACTTCGAGGTCCTGCTTGTTTAGAGCTTTAGCAGTGAGGACTAACCCATCTGAAGCATATTTAGCAGTCTGGCTTCTCTCCCTCCCTGGCTGGGAAAGATGATAGTGGCTGGCTCTCCTCCCAGAAGAAGATCCACATCATCTCTGCTCCCTCTGAGGGACTGCGTGCTGGCCTGGTTATCAGCAGGGGTTTCCCTGAAACCTCGCAGGCCCTTGGCTGCTGCCTTTCACCAAGCCAGAGGTGAGAGCTGGAGTCTGTGGGGAGTGAGATTCTGGCACATTTCTTCCTTCCCTGGAGAGCAAGTAGGAGTCAAACCTGAAACAGCCGGTTGCTAAATTAGAGATGTTATACCTGTGATTGTAGGAAAGCAGAAGCCCCTTATAAATGAAACAAGTGACTCCTATCCATGATTATATGTTAAGATATACTCACCGCTTGCTCAAGCACTTTAAAGCAATTATAGCTGATACCTTTTTTTTTTTTTTCATTCTCCGCAGGCTTCCCAGCAGCCAGAAGATGCCATAGCTGCGTTCAGATAAAAAATGGTAAGATCTGTCTCTTGAAAATTGGTGTATCTTATACAACCTAGCAATGACAAGCCCATCCTTCTAGCCTGAGAGGTGCAGGCCCCCAACACATGTTTGAGAGAACTGCAGGGCACACGTGTCTTTTCTGAAAGAGGATATCTTTCTTGTTAACAGGCCTTAAGCTGCCCAGTTGGCACCACTCCTCATATGAGGGATCTTGCTGCTGTAGGCAAATTTACTTCTGCACTCCACAGTACTGTCACTCTCTGGAATTCTGCAGTATTTTATGCAACACCTCGATCTCCTTTGGACACGTGGCCACTTCAGTGTAAAATATCATGTATTTTAGCCACGAGTGTCCATGGTGCTTTGCAACTTGCTGGTTGCAAGCTCATGAACAGGTATGAACAATGCTACTGCTACAGCTCGGTGACTAACCTGTTAGTTTTACAGTCCGCTGTGAAAAGCAAAGTGGGGCCAAGTCCTGGAAGCCGAGTTCTTTAGAGACAAGATTGTTCAGGGATTTCTTTGATAGTGGATTCTTTTCGTGGTGGTGTAAATCCAAGATGCTCATATGGAGTGGATTATGAGGCAGTAGCAGAGTTAGCACCTGAGTCTTCCCGTTCTCTGGTAAAGTGAGGGCCATTTTATATGTTAGGAGCTGCACAGAGCTTAGTAGAGCCTTTTGTTCTTCACTTTGATCCTCCACATGTTCTTGCTGTAAATCACTTGTGTGGCGCTGTTTGAGGCACAGCTTTGAAAGGGCTCTGCCTGTGCAACCTGTGTTCAATTACCCACAATTTTGAATGGTAGAATGTTCCTTCAACTAGATTTGGGCCTCTTCCGTAGCCTCGTTGTCCTCTAAGAACGCATTCTCCCGAACTTGATAAAAACGAAATTGCTCATAATGGACTGAAGAAGCAGTTACAATATTGGTCCTTCTTTTCAAAACTCATCAGGTCGATTACTGAATGCTGTATGTTAAAGGGTGGAGTGATATGCCAGATTATATTTCTTAGGAGTGCTAATTGTGCCAGTAAAAGTAAGGCAGGAGCTGAGAGATGCTTCCAGTCACCTTCATCAGCTGTATTTTGCTGCAGTGCAAGCCTCTGAGTTGAGAACTTGGGCAAAGCCGGGAGCAAGGACCTGCCTCTGGCAGGCAGCAGGACTAGGAGCTGGGGCTGGGGCTGCTCCCCATGTGTTTAAAACCAGTAAAATCTGATTAAACATAGGTACCTGTGAACTCAGGTTAGCGACGGCTTCATGCAGCTTCTTAAAGCGGGAGTGGCACTGCACTCCTGCTTCTCAATGGCATTTAGCTCTGAATCTGCCATGGTTGGGCTGGGGTCACAGGCAGGCTGGGAAGTGGACATGAGTGGACATGCAGCCCAGAAGGCCAACCGTATCCTGGAACAAGAAATGTGGCCAGCAGGTCAAGGGAGGGGATTCTGCCCCTCTGCTCTCTGCTGGTGAGACCCCACCTGCAGCACTGCGTCCAGCTCTGGAGCCCTCAGCATAAGAAAGACACGGACCTGTTGGAGCGGGTCCAGAGGAGGGAAACAAAAATGATCAGGGGGCTGGAACACCTCTGCTACGAGGAAAGGCTGAGAGAGTTGGGGTTGTTCAGCCTGGAGAAGAGAAGGCTTCGGGGAGACCTTATTGCAGCCTGTCAGTACTTAAAGGGGGCTTATAAAAAAGATGGGGACAGACTTTTTAGTAGGTCCTGTAGTGATAGGACAAGAGGTAATGGTTTTAAACTAAAAGAGGGGAGATTTAGATGAGATAGAAGGAAGAAATTCTTTACGCTGAGGGTGGTGAAGCCCTGGCCCAGGTTGCCCAGAGAGGTGGTGGATGCCCCATCCCTGGCAACATTCCATCAAGGCCAGGTTGGACGGGGCTTTGAGCAACCTGATTAGTGGCAGGTGTCCCTGCCCACAGCAGGGGGGTTGGACTGGATGGTCTTTAAAGGCCCCTTCCAACCCAAACCATTCTGTGATTCTATAAGTGGCCTCCGTGGGTATGAACAGTGTGCTGGGACTGGTTTGGGAGGTACTGAGAGCTTGTGTTGAGGTAAGATAATTGTTGATCCTGAAACTGTTTTGGAAAGGTGATTGCTGACTTCAGTCACCACACGTTCTGCAGTTGATGAAGGATAGCTTGGCCTGCAAGCACTGTGGGTTTCCTCTCTTACAGATGTGTTCGTTTGTGGAGGCTATAACGGAGAAGTGATTCTGGGAGATGTTTGGAAGCTGAATCTGCAAACTTTCCAGTGGGTCAAGCTCCCAGCTGCCATGCCAGAACCAGTGTATTTTCACTGTGCTGCTGTCACACCAGTAAGTGACTCATTTCTTTCCTACGTAGCTGAAGTTCAAGCCATTCATCCAAGCGCTCTGACGTTTGTGCGGGCTGCAAATAGAGCTGAACCGATGTTACCAAGGATGTGATCTCCACTGGATACAGCATCTTTAGGGAGGCTGAGGGCTGGTGTGAGGTCACTGCATTGACTCCTTTTACTCCTGCTGCTGTTTAAAGAGCAGTAGCACACAGTATATTGTGCTTTCTCAAAGCAGCGAAGCGGAATTTTAGCTTTTAAACTGTATCAGCTCCAAGGAGTAATTCCCCGTGTGAACAGCAGTTCCTGTTTGCAAAAGGAAAAAAAGCACAAATACTCCCCCAGGTAAACTGGTTTTAGCCTACTGAGAACAGCCTGAGTTGAAAGATTAGCAGGTGAGCAGCTGTCTTTGGAAACCACTGCTAACGGGAAGGTTGGTATTGCTAGAGCTTTTTGCCGTAACTAGAAGCATAGAGACCTGTGGTTGATAAGCAGCAAGAAATGCATTTAGCTGTGACTTCAGCCTCCTTCAGCTGATCATCGCCTTAGGGCAGCGTGCGAGGGCAGAGATCAGGTTCTTTGGTTGTAAGAGCAGGTGGCACCTAGTTTGGAGATTGTTATAAATGCAACTCTTCCGGGGAAACTGTAGGCCTGATAAAGGTGTTTCCCAGGCAGCCCAGTGACTGCAGGTGGGTGCCTGGAGAGCAGGAATGCCCTTTCTTTTCCTGTATATTGAAAAAAATGCCACTCTCAAAATAGGTCAGCAGCTGAGCTTTTCCCATCTCTCTGCGTTCGTGTCATTCCTGGAGCAGGGTTACGCTGAGCCAGCCAGAGGGAATGCAGCATGTCTTTGTATGGTGTGGTTTTAGTTTAAGAAAAAATACATTCTTTTTAGCTGAAACCGAAGTATGGCTTTATACTAACTTATTAACACTTTGCCCCACTCCTAAAATTGATTTCTTGGGGTAGAATTAATCTAAAATACAGAGCAAAGCACTCTAAGTTAGTGGATACGTGCTTTAGGATGAGAGATTTAGGGATGTGATCGTGCCCCTGTACTCGGCACTGGTGAGGCCGCACCTCGACTACTGTGTTCAGTTTTGGGCCCCTCACTACAAGAAGGACGTTGAGGTGTTAGAGCGTGTCCAGAGAAGGGCAACGAAGCTGGTGAGGGGTCTGGAGAACAAGTCTGATGAGGAGCGGCTGAGGGAACTGGGGGTGTTTAGCCTGGAGAAAAGGAGGCTGAGGGGAGACCTCATCGCTCTCTACAACTCCCTGAAAGGAGGTTGTAGCGAGGTGGGGGTCGGTCTCTTCTCCCAAGTAACAAGTGATAGGACGAGAGGAAACGGCCTCAAGTTGCGCCAGGGGAGGTTTAGATTGGACGTGAGGAAAAATGTCTTTACTGAAAGAGTGGTGAAACATTGGACCAGGCTGCCCAGGGGAGTGGTTGAGTCCCCACCCCTGGAGGTATTTAAAAGACGTGTAGATGAGGCGCTTAGGGACATGGTTTAGTGGGCATGGGGGTGTTGGGTCGACGGTTGGACTCGATGATCTTAGAGGTCTTTTCCAACCTTAATGGTTCTATGATTCTATGAGACACGTGTCCTTCAGCAGTGATTCCTCCCCTTGGCTACGAGAGGAGCCGGGGTGACTGGCTCAGGCAGTGACAGTTCTGTTACCAGCACATAAAGGTGTGTGAGATGAATCTCGCTCTGTGATTAACCAGCCGGGAATCTGGAGAGTCAAATCCCGGTTTTCCTGGCTGTGTCGCTCCTCAGCACCTTCTGGTGTGCCAGTTTGGTCTGTGCCCCGTGTAACTCCCCTCTCCCCCTTTTCCCATCTAGGCCGGCTGCATGTATGTTCACGGAGGGGTGGTCAACATCCATGAAAACAAACGGACTGGCTCTCTGTTTAAAATGTGGCTGGTAGTACCCAGCCTGCTGGAACTGTCGTGGGAGAAGCTCCTGGAATATTTCCCTCATCTAGCAAGTCTCTCCAGATCTCAGCTTTTGCACCTTGGACTGACGCAGGGACTCGTTGAGCGGCTAAAATGAGAACATCTCATGTTTCTGTCCAAGACACACTACGTTCAAGAAGCCCCCTCCCACCCTCTATTTATGGATACCGTGGATGATCTTGCTTAAGAACATGGAGGAACCCGCTCAACGCCTTACTCAGCAAATACATCGATGCCTTTCTAGAAATTTTTACTTTAAGTTGTTGAAAATCCACTTTTTATTTATGGATCTCTAAATTACACCATTAATCAAAAATACTCTCTGGGACTAATCCATAACATCCAGCCGTCAAACCGTCATCAGCACATGCTTGCAACTTAATTGGGGAGGGTGGGGAGCTTAGCAAATGTCTGAGCCCATGCTTGCACATGGCGCGCTCAACTTAGTATTTTCATAAGATGTATCTAACGGAGGACGTTCAGTGCAGAACAACAGCCGACCTGTTCTTTTGCTTTGGATGACACTCATCCCCCTAACGCCCAGCTGAGTTCTCCCTCTATAAAACCGAGAACTCCTTCCGCTTGAAGGCTTTGCATGTGTCTGTTCCCATCTCTTTGAGCTTCAGAAGATGGCTGGAACGTTGCATGGGGCAGCGAGCGAAGCTTTGCCTGTGCAGCTTTTCTGGTGCAGTGTTGCAGTGATTTGAAACACCCCGTGTCTGTGTTCTTCACCTTTTCATATTGAAAGGTTTGCTTGGAAGACTGGTTAAAAGTTGCCACTTAATGGACTACTGTGTAGTTTACTCGGGGTGGTGAGGGGAAGGAAAAGGTTTTGCTGAATCTTTTTTAACCCTGTCTGCTCACATTGCACGCTGAACAAGCTAACTGCAAAAACTCACCCTGTAGACTTCAGAGCTGTCTTTTAACCTGCAGCGTGTTCTACCCGGTGCTTGGGTGCGAGCCACCCATGCCAACTCAGTCCTGGTTATTGGCATCTGACTCTGATGTGTACCTGTAAGCAACATCACACATTGGCCTTTTTCTAGTTAGCTTCATGTTCCTCTGGGGGTGGGGGATGTTATTGCTGTGTGTGGTTTTAAACTGGTTTTGTGAGTGGCTTTCTGGGTCCTTGGAAGCTCATGGATCGCTCATCCCAGGAAACGTAGCATCAAAAAAAAAAAGGGGAGAGGGAACCTCTCTCCCTCTTGCTGTGAGCAGTAGTCATCTCTGCGTAGGCAGGAGAGGAAGGGATGTCTGTCTCTCGTCTTGCTGTACTGTGAAGTTAGCTCTAGAGACCGTGTACAAGTGGCCATTGAACTCTGAGCAGCTCCAGTTGGCTGGCATCAGGTTTGTGGAAAATCCTTTTCATTTGAAGACCATTTTTAAGTGCCTTTTTTTTTTTTAAATCAGCTTTTCCTAGTACCTTCCCCTTCCATCATCAAAGGCAAGGGTTAGACTCTGGCATTTTAGTTTCTTTTTAAGTGATTGCATTTATGTTTAAATAAACCATAGCATTGTCTTCATGTTGTTAATCTGAACAGCACTGGCTGATCGAGTCACTGCTACCCCTCTTAAGGAACACCCATCCCTGATGTTCAGTTGAAGCGTTACCACTTGTCCTTGAGTCACTGCTACCCCTCTTAGGGGGTACATCCCTGATGTTCAGTTGAAGCGTTACCACTTGTCCCAATATTAAGCTTCCCCTGTTCTTGGGGATAGATTTATTTCCCCTCCCTTCTGTAGCCTCAGTTGCTGCTTTTTTTTTTCCCCCCAAGGCCAAGGAAAAAAAAAAGGTTGGGCATCACAGCTGAAGCTTTCTCTGGTGCTTTGGACCACAGAAAGTGGTGGCAGCTGCTTGTAGCCGTTTTATCTGTCCCCTTCATTGTACCTTTACAGGACATGCAGCTGACAGGGCAAAGCTGGGAACCTCAGCTGCACTGTGTGGCTTTCATAGCCTACCCAACTCTCTGTGTTTGGGCTGGCTTCTAACTAAGAGCCTTCAGGGCAGAAAGCCTTTGCTCCTGGAGTATTACCATCCTATTTCAACCCCTTCCAAAGCCTCCCCGGCTGCTCGCCGCAGCATCCCACTGCTCCCGGCTCAGGGGCTGACCCCAGACCTTGCTGGCAGCTGTGGGCTGGAGAAGGGCTACCTGCTCTCCTGCCCCTGGCTTGTGGTGTCCTCTTCTGTAGGACCGTGGTGGGCCAACGGGCCTTTTGTCCAGCTCCCTCTTCTGGCCTGAACTCAGTGGCTCTTGCCTTTTCTTGCAGAGGCTGGATGTCTGCACTTAGTCTTTGCCTTCTGGCCTCCAGTTCTGCTGGGACCTTTGTACTGGAACAGCCTGGTCATACATGTGCTGGTTCTTCCCTTACCTCCTTTAAACCTGAACTCAGTGGCTCTTGCCTCTTCTTGCAGAGGCTGGATGTCTGCACTTAATCTTTGCCTTCTGGCCTCCAGTACACTACCTTTGTACTGGAACAGCCTGGTCATAGATGTGCTGGTTCTTCCCTTACCTCCTTTAAAGAGCAGCTCCCATCATCACCAAGGCAATATTAAAACCATCCGAGCCTGGATCTCTGATCAAGCAGATTACTTAAGCTCTTTTGTCTTCCTTGCTCTGGCAGCCTTATGGGGGCAGCCAGGAGCTTTCCCCCTGATGTGAACACAGGGAGGAAGGTGGTGGGTGTCAATCTGGGGCACATCTGGCCTCAGCCTGGCTCCATACTGCCACCTGTAACACTGTCACTTAATCTTGGCTTCAAATCTTGACGTGGAACATGTTCAGCCACCCAGGCGGAAGGATACAGTCTTTGATGTCCCTGTGACACACCAGTGCACTGCTGGCTCACCCAAACACAAGTGCCCAAGCCTTTTCCACTGGCTGGACCACTGAAGGTGCAAGCCCAGAGCCTGCCTGTGCCCTCCACCAATGGCCTGGAGCTGGTTTCACCCTTCCAACGCAGCCGTGCTGCGTCCCCAGCACACAGGACTTACGGGACCTGGCCAAGAGTGCTACAGAATAAAGGACCAGGGACTTGCTTTTGCTGATAAAAGCAGATGATACAAGCGTTGGCCACTGATGGGAGTCCAGGGGCCTCTCCCCTCCCGGTAACCTGGGGTGGCTGCTGCATGATGGGCACAAGATCTTGGAGGCTGCTCTGCTGCTCTTCCTAACAAAAAAAAAAAAAATTACTTGTTTTAAGTACTGCAAAGCTCACAGCTCCCTTTTGAGGCTTTGCTTGAGTCGCTGCTAGTCTGCTGCATGTTGAGGTTTTTTTTGAATGGTAAAAGCTTCTTGCTGGCTCCCGGTGGCAGAGGCTTCGCTCTGGGGTGCGGCTTGAAGGTTATACTGCTCCAGGCTTTTCTTGCTCCATCATCTCCTGCATGTCTTCACCTCCAGCCCAGGTGATGCCCAAGTATTGGTTCCTCCCTTTTAAGGGCAAGTTAACAACTCCCTCCGTGCAATACCGCACTCAATAGCAAAAGAGCAGAGCGTTACTGCCTCTGCCAGGGCAGGGCCATGAGTTCCCTAAGGGAGAGGGAAAGGATTCAGCATCTGCAGCAACTGATGGAGGGAAAAGGAGTTCAGAGCACCCACGATGCTGCCCGGGACAGGGCACACAGAGAGAGAAAGCCATCTCAGGACAGGGTTTTGTGGGACGGCCCTCCTGCCTTCACCCCACGACATACCCCTGCTCCCAGCACCAGGCGGAGCAGCTCGGGGCGATGTGGGACCTCTTTGGGGCATCCTTGCAGCCACCAGTGGCTACTGCTGGGCTTGTCCTGCTGCAGGGCAAGGCACTGGGGAAGGGACCCGCAGTGCTGGCCCTACCCGCGCTTTCCCAAACACGAAGGCTGGGTCTGACTCCAGGAGAAGTCCCGACCATCCCTCACCCCAGGGTAGATGTTTTCTGTTTAGCCTCAGATGAGATGTAGGAGAACCTGTTTGGTGCCATCATTTTCTGCCCTCCCATCCCACGCCTTTTCCATCTCTTGCTGCCCCACGCCGTTGAGCCCCTCCGCTGCCGTCAGCCAACTCTGGATACTCACCCAGAAAACTTCTCAAACATCTGTATTAACAACTGCAGGATTGTCCATACTGATGCTACACTAGGAAAACAAGAAAAAGCTGATAAAGCAGCATCATTAATTGCTAATTAGCAGCTGCCCTCCTTTGGGAAGGAGGGGGATCCCAGGCTGCTGCCCGCTGCCTGCCGTACTCTGGGCTGTTTTAAAGTCTAGTCCTGTTTCTCCGTTGACTATGGGACCTTTTGGAGTCCAACGTTCACGTTGCAGGCAGCGAGCCCTGCTCCCCTCCCCAGTTTTTATGCTGAAGTACGTCCCTGCAGGGCTGGGGAGGGAGAAGGGGCACAGGAGCTGCATCGCCTGTATTTCTGTATCTGTCAGTGTTTTGCTTTTGGTTTGTTTTTTTGGGGGTTGTTTTTGTTTTGTTTTTTTTAAAAGCTCTGATAATAAATCAGTCCAAGCCACCTGCTTTGTCCTCTCACCTCACCCGCTGGCGTTTCCCTTCGCAGAGGGAGCTGAGCTGGTCCCCGGCCTGTCGCACCTCGTACCCTGCAAACAGCTCCAGGAGCATCCCTGACCCTCCTTAGGAGCCTGTTAAAAAAACCTCTGAGCGAGAATGACCCAGGACAGTCAGACAAGACGAGGCTGGAAACAAGAGTTGGAGCTTAGGGAGGGTCATGGAGAAAGCTGGAGCCCACAGCCACCCCACTGCTGGCTCTGTCCCCGTGGCACGGTGGTGGACCTCCCCTGCCACCTGCTCTGGTGCTGTGACAGAGGACATTGAGTGCTGTCCTGCTCCGCTCCCAGGGACGCTGGCTCCAACTGAGCCATTGCTGGTGCCCAACGCCCACCACACTGAGAGCCAGCCTTGGTGGGTACCAAGCGGCCATCACCCCAAGACCATCGCTAACCTGGGTGGTGGGCATGGAGGGGCCCGGAGACGCGACTGAAGGCTCATTTAAGGAGAAAAGAGCTAGTTTCTGATTTTGTACAAACTGCTTTAATGACAAAACAGCTGAAAAATACCTTTTGGTGCGTTTCTAGTACTGTCAAGAAGCCCTGTGTGATCCCCAGACCTGAGTCCCTTCCAGGCCCGGGATCACCCACTGCCTGGAAGGGCAAGAGGCTCTTCTCAGGCACCTTCTCCCAGTGCTACATATCCCAAGGGAGGGGTCTGTCCTCGAGACCACACAGAAACCCCCTTCAAGACCCTCCAACTAAGGACAATTTTCCTCCCAGTCACACGCGTGTGGGCTGGAAATACCTCCGTGAAGTGCTCTGGCGTTGAGGTTCCTTCTTGGTTGAGGAGTGCTTCTGTGGCCACCACCCTTCCCACCACTGAAGCCCTGTTGGCACCCCACTGGGGGAGCCAGGCAGCAGCAGGAGCTTCAGCAAATGATGCTTCCAGACCGAAGCCAGCCCAGCCGAGTCCCTGAGACACCAGATAACGCCCCCGACGAGCACTGAACCCAACGGAAGGGTTGGAGAAAGCGGAGTCCAAACCTCAGCAACCACTGGGCGATGGGGCAAAGAAATACACAGCCAGGAGGATGAAGTAGACCATCACCAGCACCGTGCCTAGGGCAGACAGAGCAGGTTGCAGGGGGTTACTCCCTGGAGCAAGGAGGGAGGTTGCTTTTAAGATCTTCTGGCATGGTCTGGACTAGCCCACCATAGAGGACTTTCATGGTCCCCTGCAAAATCTCAGAACTCCCTCTTAAGGGTGAAAAGGGAGTGATCCCCCTTGGTGCTGCTGCAGGGTGGCAGCTCCAACACCTCCAAGATGGTCAACCAAGACCCCAGAATTGCTCAAGCCACCACATGGCAAGAGCTGCAGCAAGCAGATGACCCCAAGGCTGTCTCTAGGAGCCCCCCAACCCATCAGCACAGGGAAGGTAGATCAAGTTCCACAGTAGCCTCACGGGTGAGCGGTCACCTTGGAAGTAGTCACATTTGCCATCCATGAAGATGTAGTTCATGAGCACCACGCTGAACATGCTGGCGTAGACGTGGAGGTCGCTGAAGACAAGCGTGAAGTTGGTCGGCTGCGAGGCAGAGAGGATTTGGGGTTTATGGCCAACCAGGACAGCCCCGCACTGACTGTAGTTGGGGACTTGCATGTCACCCCTTAAACCCCCTCTGCCACATGTCCCTAGGGCTGGAGACAGCATCAGCCAAGGTAGGAGACATCTGACCCCACTTTCCCCCGCACTGAGCAGAGGAGAGGACACACTGGGGATGGCAGCTGTGCCCTTGCCACATCTCATGGAGTGCTGCATGTCCCCAGCCCTGCTGCAGGAGGTCACCCAGGGGCTGTCCTGGAGCTACTCACATAGAAGATGGTGAAGAGCACCAGGATGGGGATCTGGAGCATGCAGACCTGGACGGCGATGCAGTTCCCAATCTCGATGCTGGGGAGGACAGAGGACTTAAGAGCTGCCAAGCACCAGGTCTCTGGCAGCCCTTGGGTCACTCAGCTCGGGGTGAGATAAAACCCCACCTCGGGGAACCAAACCATGCAGCCCGACCTGGTTCTGGCCCCATTTTTTGGGTGGCTTTAAGTCCTCTTGAGGACAAGTTGGCAGGGATTTGACCCACCAGTGGCATGAAGCTGGGCAGCCATCACTGGCACCAAGGTACAGCTATGGGACCTGGACCATGCTGGAGGAGGACACCCCAAAACCCATCCTTTGAGCCATCTCACCTCAAGCTCAAGTTGTTCTGCAGGGCAAACTGGATGCCATTGACGATCTCCGGCAGCTCAGGCACCATCGCCAGCACAGTGACACCGATGAAGTACTGCGGGGAAGAGGTGACATCAGCGCGTGTGTACGGCCTGATCCTGACCACATCCAAGCTGTGGGCAACCAAGCTCCTCGGTGCATGGGGCATCTCGGCATCTTTCCCCCCGGCTTCTGGGGCTCAACCCTGCAGCCAGAGCAGGTTCCCATCCCTGGAGGGCGCATCTTGGTCCCCAGGGCCACCCAAACCTGGCTTATCACCATCCTCATCCCTACGCTCACCTGCGAGATGGTGGAGTTGGTGAGGATGGGGCTGATGTGCTCTGTGGCCAGGTCGGCACAGGCTGACATGCAGAGGGTGGAGAGCAGGAGGATAACCAGGGCCCGCCAGCGAGACCAGTGGACCACAGCGCTGTGGTGGTGGCCAGGCACTGCGGGAAGAGCAGAGACATGGTGGGACATCCCGGGACGGTGAGAAGAGCTCGCCCCGCAGCTGGGGCATCCTGTGGTTTGGGGACACTCACTGTGACAGTCACTGATGTGGATGTCGTAGATGTGCGAGTGAGTTTTCAGGGTGAAGAAGAGGCCGATGAGGTAGGCGGCGGGGAGCAGGAGGGACACTGTGTACACCAGGGGTCTGTGGGACATGGGCAACATGTTCAGTGCCACCGGGGTCTGGCATGGGTACCCCAGGGGGGTCCCCTGCACCGGCTGGGGATGGAAGAGATGAGGGTGCAGGATCGGAGCCCTTCGGGGGGCAGAGAGGGGACCTGGGAGGGACGCGGAGCCACAACCCAGCCCGTGAGGTGCCACCCCACTGTGGGGACAACCCTGTCCCCACCCCAGCAGATACTCACTGGACATGACTGTAGTAGAGGGTGCCGTTGTTCTCCATCTGCAGAGAGAGAGCCTGTCAACAGGGATGCAGAGGACAAGGGACAGCCCCGCCTCCACTGCCAAGAGCAGGAGCTAGGTGGGCTTAGAGCGTCCCCAACTCCAAACCCCAGCGGTCAGGGGTCCACGTCCCCGCTCACCAGGTCAAAGTGACAGTTGTGGCAGAGGTAGTGGCCCAGTGGGTTCTGGGTGACGTTGTGGCACTCGCCGCAAACCAGCTTCCCATATACCTTGGAGAAGAGCGTTGGGGCAAAGACACCTGCGGGGATAGAGGGACATGGCATGGGTGCCCACGCTGATGGGACCCCCCCCCCCAAACCTGGGGACACCCCTGTCCCAACCC